TACAGCTGCACCACCTTGACTCAGGAGACTGCTGGGGGTCCAACCTCCCCACCCTGTGGGCCCTATGGACCCTGAGAACCCCTTGAGGCTGTGCTGCAGTGGCAACCCCCAGCTCTGGCCTGTTCAGGTCTCATTGCCCTGCCGGCCCCAGGTAACCTTACTGGGGCTGGGGGACCAGCAATTAAAGCTCCTTCGTCTCCAATTGGTTTGTGGTATTAAAAACGAATTGCGATCAGTCGGGCTGTCATTTCTACCTGATAAAACATCACTTTATTGATCTCATCACCCAGTGCCATCATTTATCTTGCCTCAGCATTTCACATAATGGCTCGTTTGTCTTGATCAAAGTGTGGTCTTGCGTGTTTAACCCTCAGGGTTCCAAAACCCTATGTCCTTCCATCCATGTCCTGTCCTTGGCCCAGGCCCCATTCTGTGGGCAGGAGGTTCTGGAAGGCCAGGGCTGTCCTGTCTGGTGAGACGGGAGGAGAGAGGGGGCAGAGAGACCTGGAGTGGAGAGTGGGAGAGGGGAGAGGATGGGAACATTGGGGAGGAGGGAGTGGAGCTCAGGAGAGGAGACTACAGAGGGCTGGCTGTGTCCTACCCCAGGCCCATCATGCTCCCCACAGAACTTCCTCAGGGAAGGTGGGCCTGGAGGCAGGGGCTCCCGGAAGATTACTGTGTCCCTGGGACTCACCACAGCTGCCCACATTCCTGGGCCCATTGGTGGCACCCCTTCATCCAGGCCTCTTTCCTGCTACCGTTTCCAGGCCTTGGCCCTCAGCCCACAAGGCCCTGCAGCCCTGCCCCCTTGGGGCCCTTGTCTTGGTGCCAGCACCTCTGTGATGACATGGCCGCAGGGGGGTGCTCTTTCAGCTGACTGTGGACCCTTGGGGTGACTCCATTGCCCAGCAGGTCGTGCAGGCCCTATCTTGCTTGGTGGGGGAGGCTTGTCCTCTGACCTCTGTTACCCTCTAGCTCCAGTCCCCTCCTCTTGACCACCCTGGGGGTTCCTAGTCTACCCTCTGCCTGTCCTGTCCAGGGCAGTTCCAACTCAGCCTAGGCAGCAATACCTTCTCCAGGAAGCCGGCCTGGACCACCCCAGGGACAACCAGAGTCTTGCCTGCTTTGCTGTCCATAGATGCCTCCATGAGTCCTGAAGCCATTGCTGGCACTACCAGGCCTCATAGGGGTCCAGTCCTGTTCTTGGCTGGACTAGGAGTGACCGACCTCGTGGTGCTATGCGAAGTTACTTAGGCTCTGTGGCCCTGGTGCGGCTGGTGGACACTGCAGCGCCCAGCCTCTCTAGCTGGTTTGTCTTAGGTGCCCTAGGGTCTTGGTGGCTGGGCTGTGGGCAGCTCAGCTGGCCCCCACTGTGGCTGCCTAGTTCACTGCTGGCACTGTGAAAGTTGGTCAGTGGAGAATGTGGACCCAATGCCTGCCAGCTCCAGAGCAGAAGTTCCCCAGCCTCTATGCCTGTCACCCATGCCACCCTGACCCCACAGGCTCTCTTGCCCCAGAGCCTCCCTCCCTCACCTCTGCCTCCCTGTGTGACCTCCATGAATGAAGCAGGCTCTTAGGTGGCCAAGAGAAGGTGGCATTGTTAAAACTCCTAGCTCAGGGGTTCCAGCAGCCACATCAATGGCTTGACCTCCCTCCCTGCCTAGCTTGGCTCTATCCAGTAATAGAAGTTACTGAAACTGGGTGTCCTCCCCACCCCCACATCTATGCTTCCTTCCCCCACCCACAGAGGGTCCCTAATCCAGAAGCCCTGTCCATAGCAGGCACCCCACGCTCAATGCTTAGCCTGGCCCAGGCCCCTATGTGGCCCACCCACTCTCCTTTCTGCAGCTGGGGCGGGCAGGATGCCACCCCCAGACTTGCCGCACCAAAAGGGGCTGTCAGGTCATGATCTCAAAGAATCCAGGAGCAGAGCCTGTGGCCGTGGGCACTGCTGACTAGATCCTCCAGGGCTCCTGGGTGTGGACAGGCACCCTGGCTTCAAATAGCCTCAAGGCCTCATGCTCAGTGGCCCCAGTCTTACCCCCACTCTATGGGACTTGCCAACAGGCAGAAGGAAGAGTTTGTGGGGCTCCTTCTATTCCTAGACTCCATGTCACAGGTCCTGGCTGGGTCACACAGGCACCTGGGTCTTCTGCTTTCAGGGAAGGGGTCTCTGACTAAGAGAGGGCAGTGAGGTAGGGGTGGAGAGAAAAACATGAACCAGCCAGGGCTGGTGATGCGGGAGAGTGACAGTGAGAGCGAGAGTGAGAGCGAGAGCGAGAGTGAGAGTGAGAGAGAGAGTGAGAGAGAGAGAGAGAGAGAGAACGTACGTACATAACCCTGCAGCTCTTAACACACAGAAGTGGCTAAGGGCTGGTCCTAGCCCCATTCCTGGTCCGACCTCACGCTCACATACCTGGCCTGCCCTGGCGTCCTCCTCCCCAGGGGTCTGGGAGAAGATGAGAAAACAAAAACTAGCCTCGTGAGTGAGGCTCCCCCCAGCTGGAGGGATCAGTGTACCCTCATACCAGACAAACACTCCTGACCTCGGGCCCTGGTTCTCAAGTCACAAAATTCTCTGCTTAACAATTAGGATTGCTGCCAGGCACTGGTGGCTCACACCTGTAATCCTAGCTACTCAGGAGGCAGGGATCAGGAGGATCGTGTGGTTCAACTGTTTGCCTTCAGGAGGGCAAATAGTTCATGAGATTTTATCTCAAAAAGACCCAATACAAAAGAGGGCTGGTGGAGTGGCCCAAGTGGTAGAGCACCTGCCTTGCAAGTTTGAGGCCCTAAGTTCAAACCCCAGTACTGCCAAAAAAAAAAAAAAAAAAAAAAAAAAAAAAAAATTAGGATTGCTTTTTAAGAATTTTCTCCTGCACAGTGCTCAGGCAGAAGAATGTTGAATGAATCAATTCCTGCCCTCCCAGGAGGGGTCTGCTGCCTGGCAGTGTTCATTCCTGGCATCCAGAGTGCTGAGTGGGCTTCCCCCTTGCCCTAGTTTCTTGTGGGGGCTGGTCCCACCTTATTCCTCCTTCGGGGACATCCATTATGGCCACGTGGACCTGTCCAGGCTAGATAAGTGACTGGGGTGTCACAGGTTCTGGTCCAGCTTGCACAGATGGGAACTTCTCAAGACAGGGGACCACGTATTGGGGGTGTCTCCAAGCTTAAGGCCACCTCAAACCTACTTTAGTCACACGCTCCTTTCCTGGCCCAGATGCCCCCATTCTTGGACCTGGACAGGTCACTAAGACCCGTGGAGCCTCAGAGTCTCCAGGGAGCACTCAACACGATATGCTCATGGAAACTAGGCATAGTCACAATCGGAACCACTGAAAGAAAACCTGTACAATAGTTCATAGATTTATTCTTAAGCAAGTTATCAATAAAAAATTTAATACTAAAATGCCTTTACATAGAGTTTGCTGTTCATAAAACCTTTGTGTGTTTGTTTTGTTTTTAGTGTTTACATTGAAAAAAAATTCCAACCATCCTCTTAGTACACATGTACAAGAATCGAGCTTTCGCCACGGTTAACCACGTTTGGGGGAGGATCACGCCGTTCGCGCACACACACACACACACACAGAAAGAAAGAGAAAACACAAAGAGGACAACCCAGCACAGGGGAAAAGAAAGATCCACAAGGCGGCTGAGAAAAAGGTCCTTTCTCTTCGTGCTCACTCCTCGGTACATGGGTTTAAAACAACCGTAATTCTCGCTCCAGCCGTGGCACGTTTTTCTTCATTTGACATCTGACTCCCAAGCCGCAAGGGGACCCTCAGTGGGCCATCGCTCCAGACGACCACCAGGAATGAAATATTGCACTCATGCAGAGACACAGGGTAGACTCGGGGTGGAAAGAGATGGTCGGGTGCAGGGAACTCTCCCCATCCTTGAGTGTCCTGTGTGTGGCCACCCAGAATGGACCTTTGGGTGACCAGGCAGCAGTTGAAGCAAACAAGGCCCCTGGGATGGGGACGGGTTCCTACTGGGCCTGAACAAAGAAAGGGGGACTGAGAGGGTCCTGGCGGGGGTGCTCACTTACCCCTGCTTCCCAGGGCTTTCCTGCAGCTCTGTGGGACCTGGGGAGTCTCAGCACAGGAGGATGTGCAGAGCATGTAGCCCCCCAATGTCTGAGGTCAAGGGCTTTCTGGCCATGGTCTGGCCTGCTTTACTGTCATGAGACAAATGAAGGGTGCCAGGGCTCTGGTACTTGGGGCCAGGTGCGGTCATGGAAGGTCACTATGATATCTGCCCTGCCAAGTGGCTACAGAAAAGGCCCAGGAATTCCCAAGGCAGTCAGGTGGGCAGAAAGGGCTGAGGGTCAGGGGCTGGGTTGGAGGAAAAAGGAAGCAGAGAGAGGGGTCTTCCCTCTCAGGGTGGGCAGCCCTGCCTTTTTACTTTCCTTCTCAACTTAAGTACCTCTGGCTCAGCCTCGTCACCGTCTGAACCCGAGCAGGCCAGTGTGTCAGCCAGAAGTGGCGGGGTTCTGGGAGGGTGTTTGGGGTGGGAAAAGGGGCATCTCATACTCATCCCCTTAGTGAACCTGCAGACCAGACTCCAGATAAAGGTCTGGACCAGGTGCCCCATCAAAGGCAGCCCTGCTGCTCTTAGGAAAGGAAAATTGAGGCCCTGGTGAGGAGAGGAAGGGGTCCAAGTTGGGGAGGTGGGGATAGAGGGTCAGGGACTGACCACACTGCCTCTGAGAGAGGCCAGACTTCTTTCCCTGGGACAAACTGGCCGTGGAAACGGAAATCAGAAATAACTTGGAATATTCAGGAAAGAAATCAAAGCATCCCTTTTTCTTATTGATACTTTAAAATATTTGTTCATTTGTTTTGTTTTAAACAGAGGTAAGATATACATGGCTGCTGTCAACCTCCCGGGCTGGGGGAACCAGCTGGTCCTGGTTTTCATCCTGTTGCTAGAAACCCTTCCTTAATACTTCTTTTATCTAGATGTATTAACAATGGTGTCTTTTTTTTTTTTTTTTTTTTAAGGGACTGGGGTTTGAACTTAGGGCTTCACACTTGCAAAGCAGGTGCTCTCCCGCTTGAGCTATACCCCCAGTCCTATCTAGAGGCATTAAAAGGAAATACACTCAAGGGTGAATTCTACCTTATGCAGTCGGCCCCCAAGAGATTGGAGAGCATGACAAAGGTCCCATCTGATGTGGCATTGGCCACGCCCCTGCCCCAGCAGCCTCTGTGGTCACAGATGCCCCCATCGGAACTCAGCTATGCTGAGAACAGTGCATTTCCAAAGAAAACTCCAGAACAAAATTCCTACATACATGCACGTGTGTGCATGTACACACACATACACACACACACTCACACTCATCACACAGTGGGGAAAACTTCTTTTCCACTTTCTTTCAGTAAAACTTCCCCGCAGAAATACAATATTTACAGAGAGAAATAAATAGACAACACACCTGATTTCTGCTTTCCCTGGTGGGAGACAGTCGGAGGTACTAGGGAAATATGGCTTGGATTCTAATCTCTCGAGAACTGCAGTGCGGGGAAAATAGAGTGACCACGTCCCCGCGGGGGTGGGGGCCCATCTAGCTCTCCCATAGCAGAGAAGATGGGCCTGGGGTCCACGCTTAAGAGCTCTTTTTCCAGGGAACATCACAGAGAAGCCTGATCTCACCTTGGTGGGTTTGCATATCTGCTCTGACCTGTCCTGGCTTCGCTGACCTCATGGCTCCACAGGTGGCCGGGGCAGGCAGGAGGTGGGCAAATGAGAGCAACTCAGCACAGGATGGGCACACCGTCAGCTGTCACCAGGCGCCCAGTGGTGGGGTCATAGGTGCCTGCCAGGTAGTAGAGGTCTTGTCTGTCCTGGTACTTGCTGTTCCGAGTCATTTGCTCAAACTGGTCCCGCCCCACGACCTGGCACTTGTGGGAGATGGTCTGTACGTCATTCTCGTCTTCGTGGCACGACTGGTAGAGTGCATTCTGCTGAGCAAGGGCACATGGTGTTGGGGCTGGCTGAGGCCTGCAAGCCCCTATAACTGGGAAGGGACCCTGTGGTAGGGAAGGTGACCTGGAGAAGGTTTGCACTTAAGTCTGAGAGCCTAGGCCCAGGTCCCACAGCTGCATAGGGTTGGAGAAAGATTTGTTCTCCTCCAGGTGGGCTCTTCTGCACTGCCTAGAACACGACTTCTTCTTTCGGAAAGACAGGGTGGGCTGGGGGGATTTTCTGTCTTGTGCTGGCAGAGTCGAGGAACAGAGGGCCCATGGAGGCTGCCAGAACCCCAGGCACGAATGAGACCTGCTCAGTGCCAAATGCTGCCATGGGTCACAGCTCCCCAGGGTGACAGGATCAACTTAGGTCTTACAGGGACACACAGTAGTGGCACAGTGGGGAGGGGTGCAGGTGGCCTGCTCCAGGGCTCAGCTAGCAGCTGCGTTGCCCCTGGCAGAGCCTGTGGCATCCTGGGACAAGGAGGCCTCACAGTGAGGGAAAGGAGGTGCTCTAGCTGGTGCGTCTTTGCTTTGGTGGGTAGGACTAGCTCCCGCTGTGCCTGCTCGCACCTCCCTGGGACCCTCACCTTCCCGTCGCTTTGCCGCTTCCCCAGCTTGGTCTCCTCAGGGTGGTAGAACCACTTGACCTTCACCACCATATTGCTGCCCCATGACTCCCACATGCTCTCGATACGGCCAATGTAGGGCAGGTTGGGCCGCCCAGCTGACAGGAAGACCGCGCAGTCCCCGATACACAGAGTCTCCTTGCCCCGGACGATGGCCTTGTAGAACAGCTTCCTCGCCTTCCCCTTCATGCCCCGCCTCTGCAGGGGAGACAGCAAGATGCACAGGGGCAATGAGCAGCCCAGGGCTCTTGAGGACAGGAGGCAGCCCAGAGAGAGCACACGGGAGGCACAGCTGGTGCGTCTTTGTGTGTTTGCATGTGTGCCCACGCATGCGTGAGGGCACAAAACAGCCACACGACTGCTGGAGGAAGGCCACCAAAGCCATGGATCTCAGGCAAGGTGAGCCATGCCTGGATTTTCCCTGCACACTAGTCATGACAGAAAGACTGTAACAGCCTCTAAAGGCACACTGGATCTAGCACAGAGATGTGTGGAAGATATTCAGTACAGTGTTGTTACAAGGGCAACCCCCCCACCCCCCAAACAACCACAGGTCCACATACAGAGTAAGCATTGGTAAAGAAAAATGTGGGGCTGGGGGAGTGGCTGAAGCGCTAAGAGCGCCTGCCTAGCAAGTGTGAGGCCCTGAGTTCAAGCCCTAGTACTGCCAAAAAAAGAAAAGAAAACGTGTGTTCACGCAATGGGTCTTTTGCAACCCTCCCAAAGCTGGCCCATCCTACTTATCAACACGGAAAGTTGTCCGAACACTTTCCAAGTTGTTCGGGTGTTCCCATAGGCACAGCAACATAGAAAGCAAGACACAAGGCAATGCTGGGGAGAGGATCGTTTGTGTGATTATGTAGGCAAGGCAAAGGCCTCAGAAAGCCAAATCTAGACCCTGGTTATTTGCCTTGTATTGCAGGTGGGTTTTTGTTCCTCCCTGGAGGCTTGCAAACGGTTAGCTTGAAAGTGGACAGAAGCATGAAGAAAGGAGAGAGGGAGGGATGAGGGTTGACGGGGGTAAGAGCAAGCCCCAGTTTTTCTGGGGACAGAAGCAACTCCTCTGGATCCTTGTCCTCCCCACGCCCCTCCAGGTAGATGGGCTGCCTACCTGTGTGGGGTTCCCCGACCACTTCCACAGCTGCCGGGCAGGCAGGAAGGCTGAGATCTTTGGCCGGTTTTCCACGGAGGGCAGCCGCTGCCTCCGTGAAAGCTCTTTGGCTTTGGAGAAGGTCAGGGCCTCCTTGCGTTTGAGCTTGGATTTGCTGCCGCTAGGGCCAGCACCCGCACCTGCGCCGGCCACTGCAGCCCTGGACAGGAAGCAGCGCTGGGTGTGGGAGTGGGGGCCACCCCCCTTGGAGCGCAGGGCTTCAGGCGGAGCTAGGAGGGCGGGCACGGGGCGGGTAAGACAGGTCTGCAGCAGCAGGGCTGGGTCCTCGTCGTCTGAGCTGTAAGAAGAGTCCTCATTGTCTGAGGAGCAGAGGCTGGAGGTGGACATGGAGCCTGAGGAGGAGGAGGTGGATGAGCCGGACGAGGAGGAGGACATGGACAGGCGAGTGAGGAAGCGGGAGGGCACGCCAGCGGCCAGCCCTGGCGCGTCCTCGTCCTCATCTGAGTAGGAGCTGGGGCAATCACTGTCACAGGGCAGTGGGTACTCAGCTTGGCCTGCGTATTTGCGCAGTGCTAGTCCCATGGGCAGCGGGTGGACGGGTGCTCGTCCCTTCTTGTCCTTGCCCACAAGAGCCGGGTGTGCATAGCTAGGGCTGGGCAGGGCCCGCCCCAGCTTGGGGCCAAAGTCCTTGTCACCCATGAGCAGTGCCTTACAGTTCTTGTTCTTGGGGGAGGTCACGCCCTCATGGTCCAGCTTGACCAGGAACTCGCCACCTGCCCTCCGCCTCCCACCCTTCTCAGCCTCGGCCCGCTCAGGCTTCTTGGCCCGTAGCAGCTTGTGGGCTCCTCCGGGCAGCCCAGACCCGGCCCCGCCAACAAAGGGTGCGTAGGAACTGGCCAGGCTGCTGAAGGAATCGGCACGGAAACCATTGCCGAACACAGGGGTGGCCACGCTGTGCACGGGGAACAGGGCCTCGCGGGTCCTCAGCTTCTTGCAGCTGCCGTTGAGTTGGAACAGGTTCTGCAGCACCCCCGGCCCTTTGCTGCCTGCTGCAGCAGCCACCGCTTTCCGTTTGGTCTGGGCCACTGCTGACCAGCTCAGCAGGGGGCTGCCTCGACGGCTTAGGAAGTGGTCTGAGGCCCCTGTGGGGGACTTGGCACCTGAGGTTAGGAGGTCGGCTTTGCCTGCGGGGGGGGGGGGGGGGGGAGGGAAGCCAGGTAGGGTCAGCCGTACTAGCTAGGCACACCAGGCTGCCTTCACCTGCCCCTTCCCCCCAACCCCCACCCGGCCAGGCCCCGTGCACCGCTTGGTGCCTCCCACCCCGAGGAGTCCCCCCCCTCCCCAGCCCCCCGGCCCAGGTTCTTGGCAGTCCTGAAAATACCAGCTTTGTCTTTGCTGATGGATTTCTTCCCGGGAGTCTTGGAAGCTTCGGGGCCATCCTGCACTTTAGGGGACAGGCTGGGAGTGGGGACCTCACTGGGAGGGGGCGCTTCACTGGATGCTTTCTTGGTCCTCCGGCAGCTGCTGGACACCAGTAGGGCTGGAGAGGGCTCTGTACCTGCAGAGTGGGTTGAGGGACTCAGTATAGGCCTGCTAGGTGACTGCCACCCCTTGTCCCTTTCCTTGGGAGCCTGTCTAGAGTTGGTAGAGGCCCAGGCAGGAGGGGACCCCAGAGAGTTGATGTGGGCAGGGAGGGGCCTCTACCCCCACATGATCTTGGGGTACTCACACTGGATCTTGAAGTCTGGAGGCAGCAGTCTGATGTTAGAGACGGCGATATGGCCCGTGTCCCCATCATCAAACTCCACCACCACCGAGTCCAGGTCTTCTTCTTCATCACTGGAGGTGCCTGCAGAGGGGGTATGCCCTGAGCATACAGCAGTCTGCTGGGTGGGGAGGCGGGGAGTGGGGTGGGGGAAAGATGGGGGTGCAGACTGGGATATTGCTGTTCCTTGACCACATCTGACCCTGGAGCTGCCGTGGTAACCCTGGGAACAGATGCCTTCCTTTGGCTTGTATCACAGCCAGCCTACATATGCCCTGACCTTCCCCCACCACACATACAGGTGCAAGTATACCTCTCAGACAAGTCATGCCTGGAGGCGGCCCCTATCAGGAGTGTCCAGCAGGCCTCCTGTCTCCCCAGCCAACTTACCTGGTTGGATCCAAAGCCTACCTATCCCAGGGACCCCACTTGCCCTGCTCTGGGGTCAAGTTTTGCCTAGGGGAAGCTGGTGTGCACAAGGTGGATTTGGTGACCCCGGCACTGGGGCTCTGAGTCCTTTCCTTACTTAGCTGGATGTGGAAGTCTCCCCCATCCCATACCCCCCTGACTTTCTCATGGCCACTGGTGAGCTGATCTGATCAACTTGCTCTAAACATATCCAAGTCTGCCCACTCCAACCTCCAGGGCAAGCTGGACTGTGTGGAACGGGGGTTCCCCTTAGGAGCTCTGTGGATTGCAGAGGGGTCTAGCCTGTGTCCCAGTCTTGGGCACACTTACCTCGGACCACATTGCCCGGGTACAGGCAACGAGACTTCTGGCTCCAGTAGGCACAGACCCTGGTGCCTGGTGGAAGGTGCCTGCTGGATTGTGGCTGGACATCAAGAACCTGCAATGAGTGGCAGGGCAGTGGCCTGTGAGCAGGTAGGGCCTGTCCATGGGGGCTCGCTGCAGGGCTGGGGCAAAGCTGCCAAGCCCACCTCCCCTGCAGGGCAGGGGTCTTCCTCACCGCTTCCTGCAGCAGCTGCTCCAGAGAGTAGATCCGCTGTCGGTTACCTCTCTCGCCCTCAATGACGATGCTGTAGCTGAGGACATTGGTGAGCATGAGGGGCTTTGCAGGAGTCTCCTCACCTGCTAGGCCGCAGACCACAAGCTTCCCTCCCACCCAGGCCCCAGGTCTCACATGTCAGGGGGCTGCAGAGTCCTGACGCTGCCTGCGTATAGCAGGCTGTCCTCTTTGGGGATGAGCACCGGCAGTCCGTCGTGCAGGTCTTCCTTGTGGATGGTGCAGGAGCGTGCTGCAGGGGGAGGATGTCAGTGTGGCCAAGCCCTGCCATCTCTCCTGCCCAGGCAGTTAGCACTGCCCTCCACCCCAGCCCTGATCACTTACCCAGGGCTGCGCTCTGTTCTGCGCTTAGCTGGCCACTGGCCTCCTCCTCATCCTCTTCGGAGAAGCTGCTGTCATCATCAAACTCAAAGTCGTCTTCCACAGCAAAGCTCTCCAGCAGCCGGCTCACGGCCCGGCCCTGGCCCTGGATGGACCAAAGGGGTCAGGTTGGGGCAGGGAAGAGCTGGGCCCTAGCTTGGCTCCCAGGCTGGGGGGACTGCTACCTGCTTGCTGACCATCTTGCTTTTCACCTTGCCCACCTTTCTGCCCTTCCCCAGGATGGCCTTGGCATTGCGGGCTGACAGAGCAATGGACAGGGCCCCGTTCTTCCTCTGTGAAAGGGACAAAGACAGATGTGAGGGTGGCAATGGTCTTCCTGCCCACAACCAGCCCAGGCTATGACCCAGGCTGACCCAGGGTTCAGGGGGCGAGAGTGGGGCAGGAGGGAGGTGTGTGGGCCCTGGAAGGCCTTTCCCAATTAGGGAAAACACTAACCCCACTGGCCTTACCCGTAGCACTGGCTGCAGCATGGTGCTTTTGCGTGTGGCTCTCTTGAGGCGTTCGCTGGCTAGTTTGCTGCCTTCCTCCCGGCAGGTAAAGGCCCGGGTGGGGCTGAAGAGGGTGTCCCTACTGGCAGCAGCCCCTGGCTCTGCACGCAGGCTGCCTCTGGCCTTGCCCTTGACTTTCTTCTTGCCTGGTGCACCTAGAGGTCGCCGCCCTGGGGGCCGCTCTAGCTTGGCACCCACCTTGGCCTTCACTGTCCGCCTCTTGATCTTGACCTCACTCTCAGGGCTGGACAGGTGGCAGGTCCCTGTGGGAGGGAGGAGAGGCCATGATGAGTCCTGGCTTGTAGGGGCCCCTGCTGGCCAGGCTGACCCCAGCCTGCCCTGGTTTCTTGGTTACCTAGCAAGCCCTGCCTCTCCTTCTTCTTCTTGGCTTTCTGGTTGGCTTCCATCTTGACCACGGAGGAGGGTGAGGGTCCCAGCACAGCTATGCTGGCCCCTGGGTGCAACACCAGTCCGGGCTCCTTGGGAGCTGCTTCTGTCCCCAGGAGAGCCTGGCAGTCCTCACTGTCATAGTCGCTGCCTGGGGACAGCAGAGACCTGGTGACTTGGTGTTGAGCACTGCCATGGGATAGGGTCTATCCTATGCACACGTAGGTCTTCAGGGGCTATAAATGAAGACAGCCTTCCTCTGGGCTGCTTTTGGGAGGATTTAGGAAGTGGGGGCCCTGGCTGTCACACTGAGGGTGTCTGGCAAATGATGGAATGGGATTTTCCTTATTCTATCCCCATCTTGCAGGGCTTGGGTCTCCTCTCCAGGGAGCCCCTTCCCCTTTCTCTGCCATCCTCTGGTCCATATGGGCCCCGCTTCCTGCCTCCCTCCACCGCCAGCAGCAACTCCCTTTGTTCTTTCTCAGACCTCTGGCCCTCAGGGAAGGGGCTGGGAGGGAGGAAGTGTCTATTTTTCCAGGCTGTTGGCGGACATATGTCTGCTGGGGGAGCGATAACACCCCGGGCAGCCTGCCGGACGCTGCAGGACTGGAGGCTGGAGCAGGCGGGGCTATTTTTAACTTGCTTTCCAGGATGTGTCCAGGGGCCTCTTTCCTCCCCATGCAGAGAGTCACTGAGTGCCACCCTGGGGACAAGGCTCCTTCCCCAGCCTGTCCCTGGCCACTCAAACCAACAACTTGCCTGCCTCATGTGCCATGGCCACCGCTGGTTGGGCTGGGAACTTGGACATCTCCCTGCCACCATCCCCGTCGGGCTGTGGGTGCCGGGCTGCCGCAGATACCTTAGTGCTCTTGGCTCGTGACAGCTTCTTCCGGATGCGGCCACCCGGGGCAGCCTCCTTCCGCTGGAAGGGACTGAGGCCAGCAGAGAGCCCCTTGCTCTTGACCTTTGGCTTCAGCTGGGCCACCTTGTGGGCCACTGAGGACGCCAGCTCACTCTGGCCACTGCTCTTCTTGCACTGTACTTTCTCCTGCAAATGGGGAGATGGTGACTATACCCTCGGACCCCACCCCTGGCCCAGTCAGGCCCCATATGGGGCTCAGAAGGAGCACCCTGGGGTCTTGCCCTGAAAGAAGTTAACTGTCTGGGGGGCACAGGGCTGTCTACTGGGGTTGATGCTTGCGCATGTCCTCCCTGCTCCAGTCTCCAACCTACCCTCCTATTCAGGATGGTGCATGGGAGGCCAAGGGTCAGGAGGCAATGGGGATTGCTTTCTAGCTTTTCTATAAAGAATGGATAAAAAGCAGTTTCCTGGGCACAATTACCACCCTCCTGATCTGGAAGTGCAAAGGCCATGTGACAACAGGCTTGAATTCACTGCCGACAGCTCCTCCCAGGGCTGTGGCGAAGGGCAGAGTGGGAGGCACTCGCTCTGCTGGCTCACATCAGGTAAAGCTGGCACTGTGAACATGGTGCTCAGAGCCATCCCCAGAAAGGCCAGGGGTCATGCTCTGAACACGTCCTCCCATTAGCAGCTACCTGTGTAGTTTTTCCATTTGCTGGAGTGAGCCAGGGGCAGAGGAACACCAGGGAGCAAGTGGCGGGCAAGGGCACACAGGCGGACCTGCCGTCAGGTGTGCCAGGAAGTAACAGCCCAATCACATCTGCACATTTGGAGGCTCCATCTCCTGTAATCGAGGTACTCAAATCTTGCCGAACCTTGGTTGGTGATCTGAATATCCCAGCTGGGAGCTCGCACAGAAATGGGAGAATATCCAACACCTGCTACCTGCCCAACACCTCACGGCATCACACCTCCCTGGGGTGAGGGTGGAGGCTAGGAACTCACTGTGGAGGCTGTCTGCAAGCCCGTGTAGACACTCTTCTCTAGCTTGCTCCGTTTCCTTGTGGGCTCATCGCCTCGCAGCTCAGCACACAGCAGACTCAGGCTGGCCCGCACTGCCCTGGGGATGAGGTAGTGGTGGGTACAGGGTAGGGAGAGGCACTGCAGCAGGGCACAGGTGCCTGGGCCTCAGCCTCCCTTACAGGGCTCATAGTGGGTCATGAGAAGCAGCCTATATGCCAAGGACAGCCCACTGTCCCTCTGAGGGCAGGCCCTGCCTCTTGGGAGAAGTGCTCTTGGGGGACCTGGTGGTGGTCCCACTGACCATCAGCTCTCAATGGTTCTGGGCCCATGTTTGCCCCGTCCTCTGCCAGGCTGTGCTAGAAATGGGGCATTTCTCTTACGCCCGCTCTTCCTACTATCCCACGGGAGGAATGATGCCCTTGGGGTAGTGTCATAGAGCCCAGGTAGGAGGGTCTGGGAACTGGCAAGAACCCTGACTCCCTGAGAGATACCCAGTTCTCAGAAACCAGAGCTCTGTGGCTACTTGGTCCCTGCGTGACTGAGCTGTGGCCTAACCATTTCCACCTGGAAAATGGGACAATAACATGGGTGCCTAAGAGGTTGGGTGGCCTGGCCATTGGTAAGTATTCAATGCCAGATACTACCAAAGCTAGGAACAAAAAAAAGACACAGCTTCCTGAGTGGACAGGGTCCACTCCCAATAGGGTAAGGGGAGCAGATAAAGGAATGCAGACTCTCTCTTCCAGTTCCCCGGGGACCCCCTATACTGCCCAGGTCAGGCCCTCAATCAGGGTCCTGTCAAGGAAACCTGCATCACTATCCATTTTGGGACCTGTTGAGACCTAGCTTCAGTTTCCCCATGTTCCCCAGGTGTGCTATATCCTCCAGCCTGGATGTTGAGTCAAGAGTCAAGGGTCAAGGTGGGCCCAACAGCTGAAGTAGACATAGCTAGAGGGTCCGCCTGATCCCGGCACATCTGTCAGTCCACCATGTGGACACTCATCCTTCCCCTACACCGTGTGCCCAGTGGGTGCTTTCATTTTCCTTCCAGTCCCATTCCCCATAAGGAAACTGAGGCTGAGGCGGTATCTGCTTGCTCTCGGCTGGACAGGGGCTGAGGGGTCTTAGCCTGTCAGTACTTCTCCACTCACAGGGCTGCTCATGACAATGAGTGGGTATGGGACTGAGGGCCTGTCCTGGCTGCAGCCTGGTGTGGTCAGATTCCCCTTTCCATCTTCCTGTCCAGTGAGGAGTCTGGGCCTCTGTTGCCCACGGAGGCCAGGCAGGAAGTCCCTGCAGCTCCGAGGAGCCCCCTAGACCCCAGCTTCCTGCCTCCCACATCCTGAGGGCAGAAGGCCCAGTCCCTAAGGCTCTGTGACAGCTATCCATACAGGGTCCCAGCATGGCTGGAGAGTGGGGACAGGAGCAGGTAGAGGGAAGAGATGAGAAAGTCCCTGGACTTGGCTCCTTCTCTGGGTCAGATGAGGTGGGCAGCTGTGATGCAGTCATGAGACCAAGCCTCCTGGCTGGGGTTCGGGGCTGGGGGCTGGAGTACAGCATGTGTGGCCCTGCCAGGGCCAGCCAGGGAGAGGGTACAGGCTCTCTAACAAGGCCACCAGCATCCAGTGGCCACGTCAGGCCTGCCCACCAGCCCCAACGCTGCAGGCTGGTTCTCAAAGGGAGACACCAGGAGCTCCCCTGGGGTGACACCAGGACAGGGTGGAGGGACAGCTTAGTAAGGCCCCCAGCCATATGGTGAATCCCCTCTGCGCCTGCAGCCCACGCAAACTCTCCCGCCCCGTAACCTTCTCTGCATTCGCTAATGTTTTGTGACATAAAGCCCTGAGATTAATTTTTTGCCTCTGTCTTAATTGAAGGAACCATTTAGTGCCGATTTAACTATTATTACCAAATCATCAGGATTGATGCACTGCACACGCGCGCGCGCCAATCGTGTTTGGAGGAGCTCAGAGGATTTATGCAAATGAGCCTGCCGGGAGAGGCAATTTGTAGCCGAGAAGGACAATTATACCCGGCCCAGGAGTGCGCCAACGACTGCACCGGGCGGGTAATGGATAATAACATCGTGCAGCAGCCGTGAGCAGCAGCACAGCGTGACCAACGACTTTATACAGTGCAGATAAAGAGCCTTTTACGCAACACCGCCTCGCACGCAAGGGGGCCAGGCTGGCCGTTGGTGCAGGTGGGGTGATGCCAGGGCCTTTGCCACTGCCAGGTTCTTACAGCTGGTATGGCTGGGCTAGGGGCAGCAGTTTCCCGGGAGCGTGGCATTGATGCTGATGGCCTGGCACAGGGAGGGGGACAGGGGGTATCTGTACTAGGCAGTGCCTGCCCCACCCAGCCAAGTTCTGTCCACTGGATGCTTCTGGAGGCCCTGAGTTCTAGAAGGGGTCATGCCGGGCCTTTGGATAAGGTGTGCGGAGAACAAGCAGCCCAGAGAGTTTGGATGCTCAAGATGAGATGGGGCCCTGCTTCCTGGGCCTTGAGGGTACCTGAGATAGCCCTGCCCACCCTGTCCCTACACCCAAGACTCACTTGGCTTTTTTGCCATCACTCCTGGCAAGCTGGCCCCCAGGACGCAGAGTGGGCAGCGAGCTGGAATGCTTACGCTTCCTTGGCCGGCCAGGCCCTCGCCGGGCAGGGCTCCGTGAACTCTCTTCTCTCCTGGAGACCATGTTGGGGGATGGGTGGGGGGAAGGAACACTGTCAGAAGCTTATGGCCCTCCTGTCCAAGCACAGGGCGATGCCCTGGGAAACACTGCCTCAGGTGGGGGCAGGTGCTCCCAAAGTTTTGCCTGGGGAGCCTGGCTAGGCAGGCTAAGAGCAGGACTTAGCTCTATCTGCCTGAAGTTCTGTTCCTGCTTGCCCCAGGCTCCAAGTGTCCTGCACACATCAACTAGGGAGCTCCCACTGCCCCTGCTGCAGAAGACACTACAGGTGTCTTCTGTTCCCACATTGGCCTCCAGCCCTCCATAGTCACACCAAGACTCCCTTTGGCTACTGCTCCTCCACTCTGTAGACAGGCCCCCCTACACTGGCATCTGCTGGGCTGTTGGCTCTTCCAGTGAGGCCCTGTCTCTAGTATATTTCCTCACTGGATGAAAGTCTCATTCCCCAGGTCTCCTAAGTGTCACCGGCTCTGGGAGCCTCTAGACCTCAGCTTCCCAGCCACCCTGGAATGGCCACTGCCCACAAGTTAGTGGGCAAGTCCTGATGTGTGCCCATGCCTGCCCCGGCACCTGCCCTGGGTGCCCCCCAAGCCCACCAGCTCCAGGCGTACTCGTGATCATGCCTGCGCTGCAGGCGCACCAGCTCCCGCTGCTTCTCCTTGTAGCGCCGCTGCAATTCTGCCAGCTGCATACGCATTTCTACCTCTTGTGTGTCCAGCCGATCGATGGCAGCCTTCAGGGGACACACCTGTGTATAGGGGAACAGGTGACTAAGAGTCCTAGCAGGACAGGCTGGCAGGGGCAGCCTGGGCATGCAGGAGTTTCCCCTGCCCTGCCGTGGCACTAAGCAGTAGGGCAACGGGACCCCCCACTCACAGGCTTGATCTTGGGTGTCCAGGTGTCCTTGCGCTGCAGGATCTGCATGCGGGGGGTGAGCCTGGGGCCTTGGCCAGGATCAGCAGCTTGGGGCTGGGCTGAGG